ATATATATATCGCTTCTATTTGATCAGCTTTTTTTAGCTCCACAATCTGTGGAGAAAAAAAAACCTCCAATATTCCAATTTTCTTACCTTCAAAACTTTATCAGGAAGCGACGGATAACTGATGGTGCAATTGCGCCATCTTGTGTTTGAAGCTGCTGCTCCAGTTTCCCGTAAACGCGTTTCAAACGTTTTGGGCTTTTACTGTTTCCGTACAATGTGACGATACAAGGTCAGACATGGCGGCCTGCTCTAGAGGACTTGATAAAATTGTTACATCGCTGCGTTTTTGTCGAAAATTGCAGCACCAGAATGAAAGTAAGTATATTTATATTATAGTATATATAGAACCTGCAGGTGAAAAACAACTACCCGTTATACACTTTTTTTCCTAAATATTTTCAGGGGTATTTTCTACATCTGCGTGTCGCCCTGCGGCGGACAGCGACCCTCCTAAATTTGTCCCTCCTTCCAAACCTGTTATAGTGGATAAGACACAGACTGTGGCTTCTATGAGGAAGTAAGATTATTCTTACAGCATATGCATCATGTTGTTAAAATCCCATAAGAATGGCTCACATTCGTCTGCTGCAGTGGATTAAGCTTGTTGTTTTTTTTTCTTTTCAGGTTTCTGAGCCCAGAGTTTGTCCCTCCCAGGCAGAGGACAGATCCTTTCAAATTCTTTTTGGAGAGGAAAGACATGATTCGCAGGAGGAAAATGCTAAACATTCCTGAATTCTATGTGGGTAAGAGCCTAAATGTTTTAAGGGGATCACAGTTCACCATTATAATGATCTGAACCTTGCCTTTCATTTATCCCCACCCAGAAAAAACAAACAAACAAAAAAAAAACTTTTGGTAGTTGCAATTTCGTTTCTAGATTTTCCTTTTCTTTTTTTTGCGTGCAACTGTATTATAAAAAGGAATAATAATTATATATACTACATTTGAAGTATGCTTGCATTCTCAACCCGCTCCCATATCTGTAGGCTCTTGGTCACTAAAAGCCACCTAAATTCTGAAACTCATTATTAATGGTAAATGGACAGAAACAACATATGTAGACTAAGTTACCTATTTTAATATGAGCTGAACTTTCATCGTAGTATCAACAATTACAAATCACAACTGAAAAAAATGGAGAGAGAAACTATATTAGCTCAGGTAAAATGTTTCATAAGCCACCCTCCCAACTCTAAGCTAATTTTTATCAATGTAAATCCATTTTTTTTAATTAGCTGAGAAGATACCTTCTGCAGAGCTGGTGCTCCTTTTTAATAAGTATGTTTGTTGTTGATGTTTTTTTTTTTTTTGTGTATGCAACCAATGTCAACAGAGAAGAGACCAGGGAGTACATGCAAACAGGCATTATAAAACCATTGGAACCTATAAATGAATCGTGATCCTCCATAGCAAGCAGAGTTGCCTATTAGTTACCGCTACATCTGCTCCATCGAGGACATTGATTAACTTTTCCACTGTATTTTTACCTGCTGAGGTGTTAAAGCTTCAAACTAGTCTGTGTGTATGTCCATAGATATCAGTATCTGCGATCAAACATCTAAGAAGCTAAAGAAATCTGGAAACAACTAAAAAGTTGAAATTTTGCATCAGCTATGACTGGCAATTGGTCAGAATTTGATGTCAATTGATGTACCGGTAAGTTGATTTTAGGGCTGAAACAATTGTGATTCATCGATTATTGAAATAAACTTAAACTAATTTAGTAATCGATTAATCGTTAACTGGATTATGGGGGCTCTAAAACATGCCTTTAGCTAACCTTGTTAGAGCCACAATTATTGTTGTCTGTCAATATGCTCTATCCAGAACTAAACAAGTGGAAAAGTTTTAGTTACACCTACTTTAATTTAGTGAAAAGTCATCTCTAAAGACTCTTTGGCATTCCGATTATTAATGGAAAAAATAATCAACAGATTAATCAATTTGCAAAACAATCGTTAGTTGCAGGCCTAGTTAAGATCACAAAAAAGAAGATAGATTGGCAGTAAAATAAAAACAAACAAAAAACTACCTGATTTAAACCTTAATACAAAAACTTTATTGGATCTATTGACTATTGACATTTCTGATCATTAGGCAGGAAAGTTGGGTTGAAGCCCATCACCTTGTCAGGAGAGGGGAATAAAAAGACGACTATCAGCACATTGAAGTAAAGCCTAAAATCTTTATAAAAGCCAAAGAAACACTACAGAAGTTTTGTTGGTTCATTCCAGTAACCTTTGGAGAATATTGATTGGAAATAACTGGACAGGCTCTGAAAAAGACATCGTGTATAAAATAGTAATAAGGAAGCAGAGATGTGTTATCATTTAATTAATATCCATGTTATTCATCCAAAAATCATGTTTTCTTATTTTAATTTCTTTACTTTCAGGCAGCATCCTTGCAGTGACCATGGCTGATCCCAATGCTAGTGGGAAAACAAATCGCTTTGTCGGAATTTGCATCCAGAGGGGTGGGAAAGGGCTTGGGGCCACTTTTATCTTAAGAAACATTGTGAACAGTCAAGGTAAGGTTTGCTCTTCTCCAAACTTTTTATAATTAATAAGCATGAATGCCATATAAGAGAAAATTTTAATTACACCCCCTTTTATTTTAGATATTTCTTTTTGTATGAAAATGAATTCTTGGGGCTATACATGATACATGAAAACCAAATGTGTTTTTCAGGCTTGAAGCACTTTTAAGGTTAGGTTATATTTCTAAATATAGGAAGATGTAGTATGACTCTTTGATCACAGAGTGAAAGTTTTGGGTTATTTCTTTAATGTTTTCAAGTTTTTTAGGTTTAAATAATTAAGTTCTTTCTTGTTTTGAATGTTGAATTTATGGGTTATCATGGTTAGGGCTGAAACAATGGGATTAGTCCTGATTTATCGATTAGTATCAATTAATTTAGTAATCGATTAATTGTTAACTGGAGTGAAGAGACAGTAAAACATGCCTTTAGCTGACAGAGCCACCCACTTAGTTGTAATTATACCAAGATTGCAAAAAAAAAAAGATATTTTGCATTTAAGATTAAAAAAAAAAAATATGATCTATCCAGAACTCCTCAAGTGGGGAAGAGTTTCACCTGGTTTAATTTCATAAAAAGTCTTTGTTAGTTGCAGCCCTAATCATGGACAAACTGACTAATCCACGTATATCTGACCATTCTAGTAATGGTTGCAGAGGTCACGCACACTCTGTCTGTCCATCAGATGAGCTGGCTGATGTCCAGAAAGCACAAACAAAGTTTGAAATGTAAAAAAATAAGTACATAGAGAAAGTCGAGCCGAGACTTTATTACGGTAATTTGGTTGAAATAATTAGAAACATTTAAAAACAATGCTTAACATTTTAAATGTTTAAAAAAAAAAAAAAAAAAAACATTAATTTCATTTTTTTATGTACATAATGAAGTCTCATTTGGGAACCTTTGTAATCGCTGTTTCTTGTACAACCGTAAATCTGACTCACGACCAGCATCAAGCTTAAAAACCATCATTGCTCGTACTGAATACTTTAAACTGGTATTAACATCTAAGCTACGGCAGAAGTGTCTCCGGGGTCAGCGTAATATTTTTTTATCCAAATAGGGCTGGCAGGAAGGAACTAGGACCTAGAACATGGATCATCTAGGGAACAGGCTAAACGAGAAATGGTACCCTCCACGGTAAATGTTTTAATTACACTAAATGTTGCATGTTGAATAGAAATAGTTGAGCAATGCTTTATGCAGCGCTGAACGGTCAGTATTAGAAATGAAACTTTATCTTCTGTTTACAGGCAATATTGTAAGTAGGGATGTCCCGATCTAAAATCTTATTACCGGATATCATTCCGATGTTAGCAGAAAACTTATATTGGATTATTTCGGCCTGTATCTAAATGATATTGTCAGGCTGATAGAAAAACTCTGCATCTGTTTAAATTTTCTTTAGCTCATTGGTTAATATTACCAAGTTGAGATGCTCTCATATCTATTGTTCTTGACTATTGCGCTCTGTTTCGGTAATATCACTTGATCAAGCCTTTTCAAGTATTCTGCAACACA